TGGTTTCCGCGCGTTCGTCGTCGGTGTGAACGCGAAAACCCCATGGGAAAACCCGATTGGAAATGTAGTTCTCTGGCCCCAATGGATGGCCAGACACTTAACAAATGCGCGGCGCCCAGTGGTTTTCCACGAACTGTTAAGTGCATGGCCATCAGCGCACTATGGCTTTCCTGCGCCGGCTGCCGCGGTTTGCTGTGACCATCGGACGACCAATAATGGGCCATGGGTGCAAATGCGAACAGGATTTCGCCCAAACGGCTAATCACGGGACAAGAATCCACGGGGGGCGGGCCAGGGGCATCGGGGTCTTGTTTTCGTCCCAAGGAAATCGGGGGGGCGGGGGGGGGGGCGCCATTTGAGTTTCCAGGCCACAACATGGCGGCCCTTTCTAATGTGGGTAGTCCAGAAGTCACATCTCGCGCGCGCGGGCGCGTTGTACGCTAAGCCACGCGACCGACATGCTACAAGCCCATGTTAACTCGGAATACAATCAGCCACCGTTAATGGGCCAATTAGATTTTCCATGCCAACATGGTGGCCGTTGTACGGTGGAAAATACAGAGTTCACAGCTAGCGCGCGCGTGGGCGACGTGCACGCTGAGCCACCTGGCCGATACGCGACTACCCCCATGTTAACTCGGAATTTCAATCGGTTGCTGCGGAGGGGCCACTTGAGCTTCCATGCCAACATAAAAAGGACCCGATATTGCGGGTAGTACGGATTTCAGAGCTCGCACGCGCCGGGGGGGGGCGTTCGCGCGCGGGCGCGTCGTACGTTCAGCCACATGCTACAAGCCCATGTGAACTCGGAACTCCAATCGGTCACCGCTCAGGGGCCGCATGAGTTTCCAGGAGACAGCGGCCTTTCTATTGTGGGTAGTGCAGGATGCACAGCCCGCGCGCGCGTGCGCGCGTTGTGCGCTGAAGCCACTTGGCCGACACGCAACAACCCCATGTTAACTTGGAAATCCATTCGGCCACCGCCACGGGGCCGCTTGAATTGCCAGGCCAGCACGGCGGTCCTCTGTCGTGGATGATACAGAGTTCACAGCTCGCGCCCGCGCGCGCGGGCGCGTTGTACGCTGAGCTACATGGCCAACATGGCACAACCACATGCTAACTAGGATATTCAATCTTCTACCGCAACGGGCAACTTTTAGTTTCCAAGCAAACATAGCGGCCCTTCTGGTGTGGATAGTTCGTAAGTCACTGCTCGCGCGCGCGCTGGGCGTCCTTTACGCTGAGCCACTTGTGCGACATGCTACAAACCCATGTTAAATTGAAAATCCAGTCGGCCATCGCTAGAGAGCCACTTGCGTTTCCAAGCCAATACGGCGGCCCTTCTGTTGTGAGCGATACAGAGGTCACAACTCGCGCCCGCGCGTGCGCGCGGGTGCGTTGTACGCTGAGCAACTTGGCCGACATGCGGCAACCCTAGGTAAACTGGGAAAACCAATCAGCCACCGCTAAGGGGCCACTATGGCTTCCAGGCCAACATGACGGCCACTCTATTGCGTGCAATAAAGAATTTACAGCTTAATCGGCACGCTGCAAACTCATGGTTACTCGGAAATCGAATCAGCCAACGATAGGGTTGCACTTCAGTTTCCAGGCAATCGTGGCGGCCCTCTTATTATGGGTAACCAAGTGATCCAGAAGTCGCAACTCGCGCGCGCGCGGGTGGGCGCGTTGTGCGCTGAGCCACTTGGCCGACGTGCAACAAACCAGTGCTAACCTGGAAATCAATCCGGGTTTCCAAGCCAACACGGCGGCCCTTCTACTTTGGATCAGGGTTCGCAGCTCGCGCCCGCGCGCGCGGGCGCGTTGCGCGCTGAGCCACTTGGCTGACATGCTGGAAGCCACCGCAAAGGGGCTACTTGAGCGTGCAGGCCAACATGGCGGCCCTTCTACTGCGGGTAATACGAAAATTCACAACTCGCGCGCGCGCGGGCGCGCGCGCGAGGCGCCTTGCACGCTGGGCAACTTGGCCGACATGCTACAAATCCATGTTAAACATGGAAAATATCATCGGCCACCGCTAAGGGGCCACTTGAGTTCTCAGGCCAACGTGGCGGCATTTGCATTGCGGAGAATACAGGGTTCACAGCTCGCGCCTGCGCGCGCAGGCGCGGGCGCTCTGTACGCTGCACAACTTAACCGGCATGCTACGACCTTTTGCTAACTTGGAAGTCCGTCGGTTACTGCTAAGGGGCCACTTAAGTTTCTAAGCAAACATGGCGGCCATTCTATTGTTGGTGATACAGAATTCACAGCTCGCGCGCGCGAGCGCAAGCGGGCGCGCGCGCGCGCGTGGGCCCGTTGTACGCTGAACCATTTAACCAAAACGCTACAAACTCGAGCTATCTCGGATATTCAATCGGTCACCGCTAATGGGCCGCTTGATTTCCCAGGCCAGCATGGCGGCCCTGCTATTGCGGGTAGAACTCACAGCTCGCGCGCGCGCGCGTGGGCGCGCTGTGCGCTGAGACACTTGGCCGACATGCTAGAAGCCCATGTTAAATTGGAAAAAGAAATCGGCCACCACTAAGGGGCTGCTTGAACTCCCAAGCCACCATGGCGGCCCTTCTGTTCTGGATAACGCAGAGCGGCGGCTCGCTCCCGCGCGCGCGGGCGACTTGTGCGCTGAGCCACTTGGCCGACATGCTACATCCCCATGTCAATTTGACAATCCAGTCGGTCACCGCTGGGGGGCCACTTTAGTTTCCAGGACAGCACGACTGCCCTTCTTTTGTGGATAACACAGAATTCACAGCTCGCGCCCGCGCGCGCGCGTGGGCGCGTTGCGCGCTGAGCCACTTCACCGACGCGCTACAAACCCATGGTAAATCGGAAATCCAATCGGTCTCCGCTAGGGGACCACTTGAGCGCCCATGCCAACATTGCGGCACTTCTATTATAAATGATACAGAATTCACAGCTCGCGCCGGCGCGCGCGCGCGGGCGCGTTGCGCGCTGAGCCACTTGGCTGGCGCGCTGCAGCCCCGCGCTACCTGGAACGCCCATTCGGTCACCGCCCAAGAACCCCTTCGTTTCCAGGCCCCTTCGTTGCCAGACCGCTGAGAACAATGCAGAATCACACCTCGCGCGCACGCGCGCGTGCGCGTTGTACGCTCGTCCTCCTCCTCCTCCTCCTCCTCCTCCTCCTCCTCCTCCTCCTCCTCCTCTTCCTCGCCCAATCCTCCTCCTCTTCCTCCTCCTTTCCTCCTCCTCCTCCTCCTCATCCCCCTCCTCCTTCTCCTCCTCCTCCTCCTCTTCCTCCTCCTCCCCCCCAAAGCTTGCGCAGTCAATGTCATCATACTTCTGCTCGCCCCTTTCCTGCTACTCCCGTCGCTCCCCCCTTCTTCCTTTTAGTCCTCGTCCTCCTCGTGTTCCTCCCCCCGCCTCCCCCTCCCCCGCCTCCTCATCATTCTTCTGCGCCCTGCCTGTTTCGGCAAGGGCCGCGAATGTGCATTCACTCCCGGGCGTGCCCAGGCTGACCCACGAAATTCAGTTTGACGGCTTCCCCATCAATTTCTCTTCGTTACACGGAATGTTCCCGCACTTCCCTGATCAAGACATTTCGCCTGGGTACTATTGCTGGGTGGACCGTGATGGATACGAACAGTAACGAAACCAACTACGCGATCAACCGCGAATGAAACTACACACGGAACTCCCCACAAACATGTTTCGCACGTGGCGTTCATCGTGCAACAACACTTCCAGAAGGGCGAAAGAGGCGAAGTCTTCCCACAATAAAATCACGATTTCTGAATTCAAGCACACACAGCCCTTCAGGGCAAAAACAACAACAAACCAGAATTCTGGATTTTCCAAACCATGCCTTCGGACAAAAACGTAATTTTGAATATTACATTTTAGTTGTGCCCCCCGGCCTGGCTGTTAGCGTTTTGGGGTGGGCCCCCCTTCCTGTAGACGGCCCCCTCACTAACTGGTGCGGGACGAAGCGTCGCCGAGGACCCTCGGACGGGTCCAGGAACCGATTATTGCACTGATCTCTGCGGGAGGGATAGGACATGTCCACCGCCTGGGGCCTTATCTCCCAAGAACTCGAGGAGGTGGGATGCGTGTAGATATACGCACACACACACACAAAATATTGCCCTTTTTCTGAGCACCGCACTAGAGATCCAGATCTATGCACACCGTTGCCCAGGGACGACGACGCCAACGTCTGGAACACTGCAGCGCGGGGCCCTGAGAACATCTGGACCCCCTCCCCACGGCCAGCTGCTCACCACGCGTCGACTCTCTTGACGCTCCCCTGGGGCCTGGCGAGGGCCCACGGCCGCCGAGAATGGAGAAAATCCTCTTTCTCCGTTCCTCCTCGTCCTCCTCGTCCTCCCCCATCCTCCTCCCCCTCCTCCTCTTCCCTCTCCTCCTCCTCCTCCTCCTCCTCCTCCTCCTCCTCCTCCTCCTCCACTTCCTCCTCCTCCTCCTCCTCCTCCTCCTCCTCCTCCAAATCCATGGCGGGGATGTAACAAAATGTACCGGTACCGCTGATCCCCAGACTTCTCCCGGTCCGCGCTCTGACCAGAACCTCAAGGGGGAATCGGGCCATGCCGACGAGGGCGCCCCCGGACGAGCAGCGGTAACGTCATGCTGTCTTCCATGAGGTTCGACGGCGTGAAAACAATGAAACAGCATAGGAAATCAAGACTGGAGCCCTGTAGAACTTAGACCCGATCTTCCTGCGGCATCGTTCGAGCCAGGTCGATGTGTGAGGGTCCCGGAGTCTGAGACCTGACGAAAACTCTCGGCTCGGATTGAGACGCCAAGATCTCTGCCGATACCGCTACTTCCCAGACCTCTCCCGGGGTGCGTTCTGACCAGAGTTTCGATGCGAATCTAGCAATGGCGACGAGGGCCTCCCAGGAGGCCCGAAAAGATGAAAAAAGATAGAAGTACGGGTACCTTTTCCTCCTCTGAATCTCAGGGTTGGAGGTCTGGGTGTGAGACCCGTCCTCGGATTTGTGGCGGCGGCGGCGGCGGCGCGGCGGCGGTGGCGGCCTCCAGCAGCGCACGGAGGCACGCGGCGGACTCGCCCTCCTCGGCCGCGTATGCGCTGGCGCTGCGCGTCGCTCGCACGGCCGCCTCGGGAAAGGACGCCTCCTCCTCCCCCTCCTCCTCCTCCTCCTTATCCTTGCTGCTGCTGCTGCTGCTGCTCCTCCTCCTCCTCCTTCTCCTCCTCCTCCTTCTCCTCGTTGCTCCACCTCCTCCTCCTCCTCCTCCACCTCCTCCTCCTCCTCCACCTCCTCCCCCTTTTCCTCCTCCTCCTCCTCCTCCTCCCTCCTCGCTGCTCCTCCTTCTCCTCCTTCTCCTCCTCCTCCTCCTCCTTGCTGCTCCTCCTTCTCCTCCCTTTTCCTCGCTCCTCCTCGCTCCTCTCCTCGCTCCTCCTCCTCCTCCTCCTCCTCCTCCTCCTCCTCCTCCTCCTCCTCCTTCTCCTCCTCCTCCTTCCTCCTCCTCCTCCTCCTCCTCCCTCCTCCTCCTCCTCCTCCTCCTCCTCCTCCTCCTCCTCCTCCTCCTCCCAAAGTCGCGGCAAATTTGCGCCGTGACGACTTTGACGGCGGGGCATCTCAGAAGCCCTCGTCGAGCCTTCTGAGAAGCTGCCTGCGTCTTCGGGGAAGGCTTCGGAAACTTCTCAGAAGTGGCGAGGCCTTCCGAACCTTCCAAGGGAATCCGCCCCTTCTTACCGCACACAAAAGCTCGCCACCGACTCAGGGCAAGTTCGTGCCGTGACGACGTTTAGCGGGCGAAGGTAAAGGATAAAACCGTTACGCCATCGGGGGGAAACACATCATGTGAAACCGCTCTTCGCTGGCCAAGGTTTGCGCGTCGGCTTCTGGCGCTGCATGGACCGTTCAACCTTGAGCGATCGCGGCTCTCCAGTTGTGCAGAGTGTTCGATGTGGGACGACTCTTGGCCACCGGCGGCGTTCAATCGCCGCCGCGCGAACCTGCTATATGCACACGACGTCGACGACGAAAACGACGAGCCGGAATACGACTGTGCTTCTGGTGCTTCTGCCTCTGGATGCCTGAGGACGTGGGGCCATGCTGGACTTGGTGAAAGGGGTTCCAAGAGGATCTTCAGCGGAATCCACCTTCAGATTCCCAGACATGATCCGATACGAGGTTCTCCATCAACGGCCCCAAGCCTCCAGACCCCTTCCAAGGAGGAAGTGGTGTGGCCCCAGGGGCCCAACCACGCACCCTGGAGGCGTAAAAACCAAGGGCAAACCAGTGTGTCGTCAAAGATCTGGATCTGGGCGGTGCTGACGCAACAATAGCATCATTCTTGCAGGTCGCAGGCCAGAATAATAAAAGCCGGCCCCAAGGTAGAGGTTCAATCCCCGAGAGAATACGCCATGCAAGAGCTGCGCGTCGGCTGAAAGTTACGGAACCCATATTCTAGCAGAAGCATACCGCACATCAACAGAATGTTCGAAGGCTCACGCGGAGCTTTGGGATCAGCGCTAGACCGCATCTCTGGCGCGCGGAGCGCGCCGCCAGGGTGGCCCAGCGCAGATCCACGATATCCGAGGCGACCACACCTAAAGTCGGGAAGACGTAAGACTCGGGCACGGTGGACCCGGGTTGGCCTAATCCAGGACGCGCTCGTCAAAAAACGTCGGCAAACCCGAGTTCTGGCTTACTCGAGCTGCCCCGGTCTTCGAGAATACCATCCGACGCCCGCCCAGATGTCAGGTGCTCATGCTGGGGAACTTCCTGGCGCCGCTCGCTCCATTCGTGCGTTGCAGCTGCGTCGGAGGTCCATCGACTTGGGTCGAACTTGAGTCGAATCAGAATCAAACCTTCTGCTGTTCCCATCGTACTTACGGACCACATCCCAGAAATAAGTTCGAACACCCAGGAACAGATAGAAACAATGTCGAACGAGTATCGCCTCCCAGACACGGGAACACCCTCCAGTTTCGGTACTTTCTTGGTGCTCGAAATTCTTTCTGGCGGTCAAGGCTAAAGTAGGTTGGAACATCAGAAGTCAAACTATTGGTGAAGCCGAACGGTCAGAATACCGCGACTCCCTGGACCATCTCCTGGTGTGTTCTGACTACGATTTCATGGCGCATCTCGTCATGGCGACGAGGGCCTCCCAGTAGGTCCACAAAGGCGAACACTAGGCAAGGGTAGCGGTATCGATACCCGTTCCTCCTCTGACGTGAGTCGTGGAACAAATACTGACATAAGCATAAACTTTCGGATGTCCCCGCGGATTTCTTGGATCGGCGCTAGAGGCGCCGCCAGGGGGCCCCTGCGCCGATCCAAGAAATTCGCGCGGAGCTCCGAAAGTTTGTGCCACCTGCTGATCGGACGACGGTGGACTGTCAGGGCGAATGTGAGGAGTCAAGAGGTGGCATCCAAACCTCACCCCGAAGATGTAGGAGCATGGAAAAGCGACACCGACACTACCAGCCCCACCGGCGGGAGGAGCCAGGGAGGGGTCCCCCTGGTGGTGTGCTGCCCCCCGCTGGCTCGAGACATCCCCTATCCCCAGCTCGGGGAGGCATCGTGTGACTCCTCGCTGGAGGTGGCCCCCTGGAGGCTTTAGCGTCGCTTCTCCGTCACGCCAAAATGTGAGAGCTTCGCGGCGCCCGAGCCTCGAAGGACGCCCGGAGCCTCGCGGACTCCCCGCGGAGCTGGCGCACCTTGGGGACCCACAGGCCCAGGTCAACCCAAACTTAGGTCAACCGGGCATTGCAGGATCCTGCACGATCCTGCAGGGACCCGCGCCCGAACTAGAAGAAGAACAAAACGCCATGCACATAATTAAACTTGTGGCGTTCCGCACGGATTTCCTGACTCTGCACTGGACCTCCGGGCGGCGCAGGAGGCACCGCCGGGGGGCCCCAGCGCAGATACAAGAAATCCGCGCGGAACGCCAAGTGTTTATGTTTATCTATACCGTTTCTCTTCTCCGACTAGCGACTAGCACGGGTCGGCGCAGCCCTGGCTCTGCAAGATCCTGCAAGATCCGGAGCCCTGGCTGACACCCGTTTGCGTCGACCCCCATTTCAAGTCGGGGACGCGCAAACATGGATCTGGGGAGGTGCCCTCCCCACAATGCGGCTGGTGCCGCCTCGTTCGGCGGCGGACATACGCGATTTCCCATGGAAACGAGATCCGTCGCTAATCCACGCCCCCTTTGATCCATGTTTGCGATCGCCGGATCAAGGCTCCCGAGCGCCATCTCCTCCGCGCTGGCAAGCTGCGCCCCCTGCCGCGAGAGCTCCGCCTGCATCCACTGCCTGTGGCCGTCGGTCCTCTCGGTCTCCTGCGCGCACGCACGACCACTCGGACCCCGAGATCGGTGGGTTGCAACTTTCGCACACCTGGGTTTGGTTTTGGTTTAGGGTTTAAGGTTTACGGTTTAAGGCTTCTCGCCTGGTTCTGTAAGCGGGGCGCCTGGGTGGGGAAGTGAAAAGGGGGAGGCCCTCTCAGAGGACTCGGACGCCCCCCCGGCCCTCTGCCAAGTTCCCGCTGCCTTCCCCGAAGACACACCAAAATCTTTCAGAAGGCCAGAAGGCTGATGGGAAGCCCCGCCGCCTTCTGAGAAGGACGTATCCTTCTCACTTCCACCACCCTCTCGCCGCCGACATTCAGACCATGAGGTCCAGGGTGCACATCTTTTGAACACCGGGCATTTTCGCTGGGTGTTGGGCCCCGAACTTTCATCGCGGGTCGGTCCGGCTTGACGATAAATGCTGAAGGACTGGCACGGGCCCAGGAAATGTCCTGAACGCGCCAGCAATCGTGAGAGCACCGGAGCCACCTCAGCACTGGTTGTGGTCGGCGTGGCATCCCAGGACGGCCACATCGACCACGCCCACAATCAAAGTGTTCACATCGAGGTCGGTGGGCTCTTCGCCAAATGGATCCCCCGAGTCATCCTCTCAATTCTGGTTGCGGGTCGCTGCTGCGCTCGGAATCGGGGGGGGGCGAAGCCTGGGGTCGGTGGCGCGCTCGAGCGTCACCCAGCGCCGGACGACGCCCGCGCGCGCTGCCATTCAGGGGGTGGGTCCTCCCCGATGAGTTCCCGGTGGCGGCGCCGCCTTGCCAGTCCAGAGAACTCCCAGGCCTCCTGGCGTCGCGCATGCAACGGCGAACCTCGGCTGGTTTGGGGCCCTGGGGGCACTCGCCAGGCCCTGGGTGTCTGGGGCCCTGGGTCGTGTCATGTCGCACTCTGTGAACACGCTGGGTGGATTTTTTCCCGAAAGGCCTTCTGCTATCTACGCAGGCCTGAGTGGGCCAGTGGGCGGCGCTAGCGCCGTTTCAGCCTCCCGAAAGGCATCCTGGCACTTGCCACGTGCGTTCGCCCACGCGGGCGCGAGGCAGGACAAGAGTGTGACCCTGCAGCGCTGCTGCGTCGGCGCGCGGCTCGCAGCTGGATGCCAGCGAGTGCCGCGCAACTACATGCAGATCGCTAGCGGGTTTGCCAGTTCCTGAGGGATAAAAAAAGAAAGAAGAACACATAAAGAAACACAAAAAAACGACACCACCCTGGGTTACAAGCGCGTGGTTTGCAGGAACCCCCAAAGCAAAGAGAGCCGCCAGGACGCCGCACATCACGCAGGATTTACCCTGTCAGCCCCCGGGATATTCAGCGCACAGCGCGGGTAGGGGCATATATTTTGCCCTTGAAGTTTAGCCGAAACGAGCAAAGGCGGAGAAGCAGGCGGGCTCGGGGCAACCTTGGCGCCGCCGACAGAGCGAGGGAAGAAGCAGTCGATGCCTCCTCCAACGCGCCTCGAGGAGCAACGCGCCACGTCGGCTGCCCCGAGGTCTTCAGTCCCTGGAGCTGGAGGCTCTAGGTCGGCACTCGCGAGGAGAAGGGCTCGTATCCGAGCCCCGCGGACGCGATGCCCTCGGCCTCGGGCGCTGCGGACGCCCTTGCCCTTGCCTCTTCGCAGGCGTCGCAAATATTACTCTTGCCCGCGCCCCCGATTTCGACGCGGCTTGGTCGGCCCCGGTCTCCGTCGGGGCCCGCGCCTTCGCGGGGCGCGCCGCGTTGACGGACCAGTCGCGCTCGGTGGGCGCGCGCGCAGGAAGTTCGCCGCGGAAGCAGAGACCGCGACCTTCTTAGCTTTGTCGGCCTGGAACTCCTTCATGAACTCGGAGGGTTGCTCGAACTCCGCCATATGGCGATTCTTCATCGGCTCCTCCACCCGCTCGGATTCGGGGCCGTTCTTGGTGGTCCCCGTGCGGAACCGAGCGTTATCTACAGTCGCTGCGTCCTTGTCGACGAACTCGAACTGACGCATCTCGATCTTGTTATCGCAGTGGCCGCTGATGCCGACGAAGGCGGTGTCCTGCACGCCGCGGGCGCGACGCCGCCGCCCCCATCAGCTGCCGCTTGGCCTCGTCCCCGCACTGGGGCAGCGCCTCCGCGCCCCCCCCCGAAGAGGCCGTGCCCCGCGACGTTCCGGAGCGCCGCCGCCCCGCCGTCGATCTCAGTCGGCGGGTCACGGACCGCCGCCTCGACCCTCGCCCGCAGGACGAGCCCGACGACCTCTCGACCCGCGCCTGGATTTCGTGATCGACCTCCTTGTCCTCGAGCTGCAGGTTGACGCCGCCAGCCTGGGCCGCTCGCCAGAAGGCCACCGCTCTGGCCGCCACCGCTTCGCGAGAGCCGCCGGCGCGCACAGCAGCACCGAGGAGAGCCTCCACCATCGCGTCGGCCATGACCGCAGCCAGCTTGAACCAGGGGTTGGGGGAGCAGGCTGGTTGAGCCAAAATGGCTACGGGGGAACACGCTGGGTGGAGACCATGAAAAGTTCACTTGACACCGTGCGCGGAAGAGCCAAAGCTCGGGGCCTCAGATCTAGAAGCCGATCAGCTGGATTGAACAAAGGCTGGGGGAACGAAAAGGAAACTGTCGGAAGTCCGTGCGTATGTATCTGTTGGGTCCGCGACGAGGGCGTCACCAAGCCTACCCACTAGATCCGCGCAGGCCCTTGTCAGTTCATGTTTGCGCGGGCTATTGTTCTGCTATGCCAATGCCTTAGGACATGGTTCTCAGGTTTGGCCCTCCAGCGAAGGGCTGTTGTGCCACAGCGCGGGTCTCAGGCGGCCGTTGGGGACGACTCGGGCACCCCTGGAGCGCTCTCGACGAAGCGCAGCTGCTGAAAAGCAACCCAGGCAGAGAAAATCCCCAAGGGCCATGAACAAACAAAAAACCTTCGACTTGGAACACGCGTACAGGAGCCATCTTGGACAACGGCATGCACAGAAACTTTCAGGGCTCCGCGCGGATTTCTCGGATCCCAGCTCGAGTCCCCTCCCTGGCGCGCCGAGCGCGCCAGGGGCGGCGCCGCAGGCGGCGATTAGGCGCGGATCCGAAAATCCCGCGTGGAGCTGCGAAGGATTTCAGTGGCAACTCATGGGATCCTCCCATACCATTTTGTCGGCTCTTGCAAATCGAGGCTGCTCGACACCAACCGGCGCTACATCGACCCTAGCCGGCACCACATCGGCGCGACCTCATCGGTTCCCTGACTTGAGAGGGTACACGAGGCTCCCACGATCTGTTACCGAAAAAGTTGGTGCTTCTGCAATTGTTTCGGGGATGGACAGACCCCCCTTTAGCAAAACGTGGTTTAGTGAAAACGACCTGAGGCCCAAACCTGGCGGGCGCAAGCCTGGAAAATGACGGCCACGGCGCCCTCTCGAGAACCGAAAACGGACAATTCACTAATCGACGTGTCACTGTTGGGGGTTCTGTCCAGCCCCGATTGCTCTGCCTTGGCGCTGCCGCTCTCCTGCTCGAGCTGCTCGTACCGGCGGCCCCACACCGACTCGCGCCGCCTGACGTCCGCGTGCTGCCGCTCCGACTCGGCCACCTGGGCCCGCAGCCGCTGCACCTCCTGGCAGCTCTCCGCGTGGTGCTCCCGCAGCCCCGCGAGCTCGCGCTCCTGGGGGAGGGAAGACCATAGTGGGCCACATGCGAACCCTACCCCTACCCCCCACGATTTCTGAGGGGGAGGGTGGGGTTCACTTCGCTCGGGAGCTCCCGAGCGAAGTGAACCCCACCCTCCCCTCAGAAATCGTGGGGGGTAGGGGTAGGGTTCGCATGTGGCCCCCTAAACCAGACTCGAGACGGAGGCAGGGGAATGAATATGAAGACAACACCGGATGAAGGTACATACAACGGGAATCTGGGAGAACTGGCGGGTCTGGGAGATGCATCGGGCGGCACCGCCGCTCGGACGTGCTCGAGAACGCTCCGGAGCTCTGTCTGGAAGGCTCTTGGACGACTCTCCTCATCCTGGGCCTGGCTGACAGACCCCCTTGCGTCGTGAACATCCGCCGACGTGCCTCTTGGCACGTTGAGGCGTGACAGAATGCGGAACGTTGCCTGACAAGGCCTCTGTATTCCAATACGGGGCTCCACCTCTACTCGCGCAATTCTGTGTGCATCGCCCCCCCTGCCGAGGCCACGAGCCCTTTCGAACAAAATATGGATCCGCGCTTCCGAGGCCTCGATGCCTTGTCGAAAAGCTTACAAGACGGCCCATGCAAGCAACCAAGGACACCAAGATGGCCCAAGTTGCATCGAAGACAGCACACCGTGGCCCCAAGGCGGCCGAATATGGCCTCAAGACGATCGAAGATGCCTCAAAGAGGGCTCAAAAGGGTCACAAGAGGACCTCCAACAGGGTCCGTAGAAACCAACACCATTGCGTCCCAAATTGTGTTTGAATTACGTTGTTCAGTCTTCCGTCAGCTCAAGACGGCCCGAGAAGCTCCACGATGGCCCCAGAACGGCCCAAGAAGCCCCCGGAAGGGCCCCAATATGGCCGAAGAGGACCCCGCGATGGCCCAGGAAGCACGACCCAGTACGGCCTCAGAAAGCCCTTCGACAATGCCAGAACATCCCCACAACGGCTCCTAGACTCCGCCGTACGGCCAAGAGGACCCCAAGACGGCTGAAGAGCCTCAAGACGGCGTAAGAAGGCCCCCAGACGGCGCTCGAACCCGAACGCTCCCCGTTAGCCGAAATATGATCCACAGTTTTCTGGCGGTCCTGGGGCGCGGGGGGGACTCTGGCAACCTGAAAACGAAGAAACACCATCAGGACACGCTCCCCCTTCGTAAATATCCGGCGCCTCGATTTGTGCGGTGCGTGGGCCCTCAAAGCTCACGACGACTTCCTGGTGTCCAGCTTTCCGCCGAGAGCGTGTTTCCTGACGGTCCTGGGGCCCGAAACAGGCCACCAGGCGCCAACAATCAGTTTGTCCTGAAGTCTGACGCGGCGAACAAGGCGCGCGAATGGCCCTGAAGACCCGAGCCCCGAATATATATATATATATATATATATATATATATATATATATACAGCACAAATAAATAAGACAATCAACGCAAGCAGAAATACATAAACAGATACATATAGGAATACATGCATAAATACATGACTGCATACATACTTACATATGTTCTTACACGTATAGAGTAGCACTGACAATAATAATAATAATGATGTAATAATAATATATAAAATGATTTAAAAAAGAAGAAGAATAATACACATATAGGAGTATTAACTAATAATACTACTGATAATACTAATCATACTAATAATGCAAATAAAAAACAATACTAGTAATACTGATAATAATGATAATGATAACAACAACAACAATACTAATACTACTAATAATAGTACTAATAATAAGAATAATAATGAGAAAACTGATACGAATAACAATAAAAATGATAAGTATTCTTATAATTCTGATAATAATAATAATACTACTACTAATAATAATGATGGACTTTTGGCGCTCCGCGCAGATTTCTTGGATCTGCTCTGGGCCCCCCTCCCGGGTGCGCGGGGCGCGTTGGGAGCGGCGCCGGAGGCGCCGCCGGGGGGGGGGCCCAGCGCGGATCCAAGATCCGCGCACAGCGCCAAAAGTTTATGTTCTCATGGCGTTGTATGAATACATGTATAAATACATAAAAAGGACATATATAATTATTGATGTATATATATATATATACACATATACAACTTTCTCTCTCTCTCTCTCTCTATATATATATGTGGAAAAAAGGGGGTAACAAACAAACAAGCAAAAAAAGACATGCGAACCCTACCCCTCCCCCTACGATTTCTATGAGGGAGGTCGGGGTAGGGTTCGCATGTGGTCCCCGATTTTCTTCTTTGATAACCCTCCGAGGTCTCGCCAGGCCGTCCGCGGCGACGACGAGACTTCCCCCCCCCCCCCTGGTGGGCTCCAGCACGCTGGCGCGGCGCCTCTGCGCGTCCGCCTCCGCGGCCGCGTCGCTGTGCCCCTCCGCGACCTCCGGGCTCGGAGGAACCAGAAGAGGGGGGTCGCACCAGAGGTCGGAAAAGGGAGGGGTTGGAGGGAGGGGTCGGAGGGAGGTGGGAAGGGGAGGGGCGGGGGCTGGAGGGAGGGGTTGGGTGGGGGTTGGAAAAGAAGGGGGGGGGAGCGCATGGGGGGTTGAAGGGAAGGGGGTTTTGGGGGGCAGAAAGGGTACGGGGGGTGGGGGGAGATTCGGTCTCTTTGGAACCCGAACGACACTTTACAACCGAAATCGGTCATTTTACAACCAGCGAAAAAATCGAACGTCCTGGTTTCTCTTTGAGAACGACCACTTTACAACCAGAACAGCCCACTTTACAACCAGAACGACCACTGTACAAACCGAGCGGGGCTCTTTGCAACCAAAACGGCCACTTCATAATTAGCCTTCCAGAAACGCGCGCGCGCGCTTTGCAGGGGCTTCTGAAGCTTCTGAGAAGCTGAACGCTCTGCAAAAGAGGCATCTGAGCTCCGGAGTGGTTCGCAAAGGCTTCTGAGCGCCCGAGCGCTTTGCAGAGGCATCCGAGCGCCTGAACACTTTTTTGTCTCCTGAGCGCCTGAGCGTTCTGCAAAGGCCTATGAGCGCCTTAGCGCTAGACAAGGCTTCAGCGCGCCTGAGCGCTCTGTAGAGGCCTCTGAACGCCTGGGCGTTTTGCAAAGGCTTCTGAGCGCCTGAGCGCTTTGCAAAGGCTTCTGGGCGCCTGGGTGCTTTGCAGAAGCAGGCTTCTAAGCGCTTGAGCTCTCTGCAAGGGCTTATGAGCGCTTGGGCGCTTTGCAGAGACTTTTGAGCGGCTGGGCGCATTGCAGCCTCTGCAAAACGAGAACAAAAAACTGCTTGCGATGCCAACAACGTACACATTGAAATCAGCAGGCGTCGGCTAGAACTAAACCAACAAACTCTTGGGCACGTTCCGCCCTCAAAGGTACGCATGCTTCCGCAATTGCGCGAGCATGCGGAGTCTCAGTTGCCAGACGATGGGGCGCGAGGGCAAACATGGCCGATGATGCAAAATAAGCAATTTGAAACCCACACGCGTTGGCTAAAAATTGCAAGCGATGCCTTGGCCACATTTCTGCCCACCTGGGTACGCATGCTTCCGCGAATAAGAAAGCATGCGGCTTTGCGATTGCCAGACGATGAAGCGCGAGGACGAAAGTTGTCTGCGAGGCCAACAACAATGTATTGGCATCCACACGTAGTGATTCGAATGTTACCATCGAGTTCTTGGCCACATTGCCGCCTGTTTGGGCACGCATGTTCGCAACTGCGAAAACATACGGTTTTCGTGATTGTCAGACGATGACGCGCGAGGACAAGCATGGTCCATGGCAAAAAAAACGCAAGTTGAAATCCACACGTAGTGGCTAGAATGTTTCGAATGCTACCATCGATGTCGTGTCCACATGTCCGCCCTCCTGGGTACGCATGCGACAGCAAATCCAAAACCACACGGCTTTGCAATTGCCAAGCTTGAGTTGTCTGCGAAGCCAAACACGCAACTCGAAATCCACGTCTACCGCCTAGAACTTTACCACCGGCTTCTTGGCACAATGTCCGCCATCCTGGGTACGCATGCTTCCGCAACTGTGAAAACATAGTGTGCGTTGAGATATTGCCATACGATGAAGCGCGATGACAAACATGGTGTCACCATTTGAAATCAACCTGTATTGGCTGGAAACTGACCAATGACTTCTTGGCCACATTTCCGCTTCCCTGGGTGCGCATGCTTCCGCACAAACTAAGCCATATGGTTGCGTCGTTGCCAGACGATGTAAAATATGTCTATGATACAAATTATATGAAATCGGCACGTGCTGGCTGTAATATTACCAACGACTTCTTGGAAAGAGCGTGATCCATCGCCGCTTTACTATGGAAAATTCCCCCCCTCTTCCTCCGGAGCCCGGGGGTCCCCCCCCCACCTCCGAAAATCCCCCCCCCTGCTGGACCCCGCCCCTCCCCCCCGGCGTAACCCCCCCCTACCCCCCCCCCTCCGGAAAACCTGGGGGGTTCACTACTGGCTCGAACCTTCCCCCCCCCCCCTCCGTAAAACCGAGGAGGGTCACTACTCGTTCGAACCCCTCCACCCCGCCCTTTCGAAAACCGGGGGAGGTCAATACCAGCGGTTCGATCCCTTCCCCCCCCCCTTCCTTGAAAACCGGGGGGGGGCACTACCAGTTCGAATCCCCCCCCCCTCCCTCGAAAAGCCCCCACGTCACCGCCACCGCAAACGACTCCCGGGTCCCTACCACCGTCCGCACCACATCCCCCACTGCTGTCCCCAGCACCACTGTCCTCACCACCAGTGTCCCCGCTGTTCCCACCACCGTCCCCGCTGTCCCCACCAGTGCCCCCACCACTGTCGCACTGTCCCCACTATCCCCACCACTGTTCCCACCACGGTTCCACTCTGCCCACTTTCTCCACGGCCCTAACCACTGTCCCACTGTACCCACTGTCCCACTGTCCCCGCCGCTGTCCCACTGAGCTGCCCCACTATTCAATATTCCCTCCAATGTCCCCACTGTTCCCACCACTGTCCCCACTGTACCTCTGTCCCATTATCCCACAGTCCTCGCCACCGCCTTCACCACTGTCCCCACCACCACTGTGCCTTCCACTGTCCCACTGTTTCCACCACATTCGCACTGTCCCCACACCACTGTCCCCACCACCACCGTCCCCACCACTGTCCCACCGTCCCCACTGTTCCCACCATTGTCCCAACTGTCCCCACCAGTCCCCCACCAGTGTCTCAGTGTCCCCACTCTCCTCACCATTGTCCCACCACTGTCCTCACCACCGCCTTCACCACTGTCCCCACCACTACCGTCCCCACCACTGTCCCACTCTCCCCACCACTGTCCCGCTGTCCCCTCACCACTGTCCCCACCACCACCGTCCCCACCACTGTCCGCACCACTGTCCCACTGTCCCCGCACCACTGTCCCACCACCACTGTTCCCACCACTGTCCCAGCATCTCCACCGTTGTCCAACTGTCCCCAGGAGCGGGAATCGTTTGCCGGCGGCCAGGGGGGGGGCTCGAACCAGTAGTGACCCCCCTCGGTTTTAAAGGGGGGGAGCTGTCGAACCGGTACAGTGGGGGCTCGGCCACAAGAAACCTCCGCAAGAAACCCAACCTTGAAATCCGCGATTTGTTCAATGAAACTCCAAATTTGTCGATCGAAAATCATGCATATCTTATTGGGGACCCATCGAAATCCAAGAAACCCAGGGCACCCTGGCAAAATCCAACTGGTTTCTTGGCACGCGCCCCCACTGTAGTGACCCCCCCCTTTTCATGATGGGCTGGGGGGGGTTCGAACCCGTAGTGACCCCCCCCCGGTTTTCGAGGGGGGGCGGCATCGACGCGACGCCAACGGGCGTCGTGGACTCGAGACTTCGGCCTGGAAGAACGAGGCGCACGATTACAAATATCATGAATTTCTGCAACCGGTCGCAGTGTTCTGGGGGGTGCACGGACGCGCAAAACACTGTTTAACTAAGCGTTTGCGGGCGCCGGCATCGAACTCTTGCCCCATCTCCCGCCTCCTCCCAATATCCCTTCGCTGTGGCCCCACCCTCCTCATGCCCCTCCGACTACCCCCAGTCCTCATCAGGCCCCTCGCTCACACTGTCACCCCCCCATGTGCCAATTCACGTCGTTCATCGTCGTCCTCCTCCGCCGGATGAATTCCCCCATCGTCCGCGTGCTTGCCCTCCCCCCATCCTCCACGCCCTGATGCAGATCATGCCCCTCCTTCTGCCCCCCCCGCCTCCCTCGTCCTCGTGATGCTGACACCGATGATACAGTTCCTCCTGGGCCCACTTCGTCCCGTCTCGTCCAATCCCGTTCATTCCCGGCCCCTTGGCCACCCCTCCTATCGAGCCTCTTCATTCCCACAGGCCACCATCCCCACACACCCCCGCGCCTTCGCACTCCCAGACCACGGCCCCCTGCTGGACCAGCCGGGCGACCCGCGGAAACTCTCGCCCAGCGAGCGTTCCAGCGAGCAGCGCGCAACAAATGCACAGTTCGAGACACGAGCTGTGTATTTCGACCGCGTACGACGCCCCCCCTGGACCAGCCGAGCGAGAAACGTGAAAGTTCCCGACCAATCAACACCACCCGCGAGGGGCACACTCCAAATACACAGATGGGAACCAGATCTGTGTACACTGATCACACCTCGATCTGTGTATACAGTGGGCCCGCACACGGAAATACACAGTTGAAGACACAAGCTGTGTACACAGATCACACCTTGATCTGTGTATTTCGAAAATGTGAACGCTCGCCACCTCGAGGGCGCCCCGACTTTGCCAACCCAGAACCGAGGTCGACATGCCCAGCCAGGGGGGAATGCAAATACACACTTCCCCGGCCCCGGGCGCCCCCGAAGGAGCTGCAACTGCACGCTTCCCTGGCCCAAAGAGGCCACGGCGAAACGCGGCACCAAAACGGCCCCCAACGGCCCGAAGACGCCCCAAAAGGCCTCGAAGGACCCCAAAGAAGGCCGCACAGCAATCCGAGAACACGAGAGTGTCACATGTCATGGACCTCCGAATAGTCAAAGCTCCACGCGTCGCTATACAGACCACTGCACTGGCAAGGGGGCGGACCTTGCCGCAGGCACCTATACATTTACAGGTTCGCGATGCGACTGCGCTCGGCGGCCGTGTCGCCCGCGTTCGGGGTGCGCCCCGAACGCTCGCATTGGCAATCCCCTCTGTTTGGTTGCGCCGCTTGGCTCGGATATCGAAAAGCCGATATACTGCTGACACGGGCACGCGGCACCGGGGATTTCACTTTTCGAACAAGGAGGGAAGACGAGGTCGGACGACGGACGGTGGAGCAGGGAGGCAAAGATGAACGAGGAATAATGGGGGAGGTGGAAAGGGGCACTCCCCCGCCCGAGCCGCGGACGCTTTCGACGCCATCCAAGGGGGAAGAAAGGAAGGGCAATGGAG